GTTCCTGGGGGGTCTTTTGGGTCTGGGGGTTTCAGCGTTTGGGGTCTCAGGGTTTGGGTCTGGGGTCTCAGGAGTCTGGGGGGTCTCAGCACTGGGATGTCACAGTTTGGGGCTGGGGGTTTCAGGGATTGGGGTGTCCAGATTTGGGTCTGGGGGTTTCGTGGCTCCTGGAGCTCTCAGGGTTTGGGTCTGGGGGTTTCAGGGTTGGGGGTCTCAGGGTTTGGGTCTGGGGGTTTCAGGGCTCTCAGGGTTTGGGTCTGGGGGCTTCCCGGTGCTCCCAGGGGTCCCAGAGTCACGGGCATTGCAGTGGGGGTCCATGGGTCACTCAGGAGGTTTCTGGGGGGGTCTCTGGGGTCGCCCCCTCCCCATTTCCTGCAGGAAGCTCCGGCCGCTCTCGGCGCCCGCCCGGCAACGCCTTTTTCCGTTCCCCGCCCCCAAAACCCCCAAAACACCCAAAAAACCCCAAAAACTCCCAAAAAAAACTCCAAACCCCCCCGGCCTGGCCTGCCCGGGACCGCCCTAAACCCCCCAAAACCCAAAAAAACTCCCCAAAACCCCCCAAAAAAACCCCAAAAAATCTCCCCAAACCCGGCCTGACCGGGAACGCCTTTTTCCGTTCTGCCCGCCCCCAAACCCCCAAAACTCCCAAAAAACCCCAAAAACCATCCAAATCTCCCCAAAAAACATCCAAAACCCCCCGGCCCGCCCCCCCGGGACCGCCCTAAACCCCCCAAAAACTCCCCAAAGCCCCCCCAAAACCCCAAAAACCTCGGTCCGTCCGGAAACGCCTTTTTTATCCAAAAAAACCCGAAAAACCCCCAAAACTCCCCAAAACCGCCCGGCCCGGGAGCGCCTTCACCCGTCCTGCCGGCGACCCCCGCCCCAAAACCCCCAAAATGCTCCAAAAAACCCCCAAAAAACTCCCCAAATCCCGGCCCGACCGGGAACGCCTTTTTCCGTTCTGCCCGCCCCCAAACCCCCAAAACTCCCAAAAAACCCCAAAAACCATCCAAATCTCCCCAAAAAACATCCAAAACCCCCCGGCCCGCCCCCCCGGGACCGCCCTAAACCCCCCAAAAACTCCCCAAAGCCCCCCCAAAACCCCAAAAACCTCGGTCCGTCCGGAAACGCCTTTTTTATCCAAAAAAACCCGAAAAACCCCCAAAACTCCCCAAAACCGCCCGGCCCGGGAGCGCCTTCACCCGTCCTGCCGGCGACCCCCGCCCCAAAACCCCCAAAATGCTCCAAAAAACCCCCAAAAAACTCCCCAAATCCCGGCCCGACCGGGAACGCCTTTTTCCGTTCTGCCCGCCCCAAACCCTCAAAACTCCCAAAAAACACCCAAATCTCCCCAAAAAACATCCAAAACTCGCTCAACC